ATATATATATATATATATATATATATATATATATATATATATCTTTTAAATACAATTCACAAAGTCCTAAAAACTTGAAACATCTACTCTTCTTTTTTCTTTCTTTTTCTTTTCATAAAAAGTCAATTCCCACGGGTGAAGTCTTCCCGACGCACGGGCACAGAAGAATTTGTAAATGTTCACTTTAAGTATAAATATTGCAGTGTAAATAGATAATTTAAATATTTTGTTACTCGAAAGACACATCTAGATCGCGCAACTCTTACGTCTTCCGCGTCGTAAGATCGTCGATAAGGGAAAAAGTTGCTCCCCACGACTTCTCCTCTATGCGTACATCCCCCAGAGGAAATCCTCCCTCGAATAATTAACATCGAAGATGCAGGGTGCAGGTGCTGAGTTACATTTATCGACTTAGGTGTTGTAAATACTCATAGCGACGTTCCCGCAATTTCCACCCGTTTTCTCGTTCCTCGAGTCGGCACGCAACGCCTCTTCGAGAAAGACGAGTCGAATGGACGAGTCGTCAACGTATATACACACGTGTGTCGTAGAATGTATACGTCTAAGAATGTCGCGATTTCTAGCTCTATTCGTCTTGTTTTTTTTTTTCTTTTTTTTTTTTCATCCAATGTGTTGCCACTTTCTCGTCGTCTGAACAGGCACGCGATTTCCAGTTTTGTTTTATCGTGTTTCGCGATTAAACCGTGGATGTTCACGAAAATTCGTGCGTAATTTAACCCAAAAAAAGTGTATACAAGTTTTCCCAGAAACGAGACAAAAATGGATATTCATCTGGTAATTATTATTACGAATTATTTCCTTTATAATTTAAGTAACGTTCCGCCGATTTTACCGCTTCTTCATTTATTTCGCCATGGAAGAAATTCTCGTCTTTGTCCCAAAAGAAATGTTACAAGAAATGTCTGAGAAAGCGTTCAGACTCTCAGGTAATAGAAATTCTAATACTGTACTGAATTGAAAATATTTCACTCTCAACTTTCCATAAACATCCGCAGTCTGTTCGCGAGATCGATTACCCGATCACCTGTCTAAGGCGTTTAAAAACAATTCTACCGGAAAGAAGTCTTTTTGAGATCAGGTTCGTCGAGGAAATCAAGTGTTCGATCGTTCAGTGTGGTCGTGCCGATACACGATGCCCTATCATCATATCACTTAATTATACTTCAGTCGTGTATCGAGACGCACGATGTCGGACGATCGAAATTCTTTAAATGTAGATAGAATGGTTTTCCTTTTCTTTTCTTTTTGTAAACGTCTAATTGGTCGTGACAGAAATTTATCGACAAAGGTATAACGATATACATATAAAAAATCAATCTAACAATCTCTACGAAATACCAACGTGCTACGAACATTCTAAGTACCACTTTATTCACGATTGTTGTTCTCGGAATTGTTCACGGAACGACCATAGTACGTTTTAATAGGCCTAGCACACACGCGATTGGTCGAGACAGAAGCTTCTCGCGAAAGGCAAAGTTCAAGACAGAGGTAGAATCTTATCGTGAACTTTAGAACTGTATTCCCATTGTTGTGGAGTCGCGATACATCACGAACAATCGAAAGAACTTTATTTATTAGAGATAAATATCTTTATTCGTTAGAGAGAATTTTTATTAAATTGGAAATCGCAATAATTAAACACATTTAATAAGCGTGAAGAATCTAATCTTGAAATCTTGTTTTCTTTTATACGCTCTTTGACAATTTTTTAAATATTTTTAATGGTAAAAAATGCTACAAATAATAATAATTTAAATAATTTTTTTAATACTAACAATGAAGTAATTTATATTTCATCGAAGAGAATTTAATTTTCACTCGAAATTTTTTTTATACATCTCGAGTCTGTTGCTTTTGTTTTCTTTGTAATTTGTAACTTGTAATTTTATAGTTTATAATTTACAATTTATTCTTTTCATTTGTCACATTTGCGAGTCTCTCTCCAAAGTTCTCTCGATTTCGTGGTATCGGAACTATTCCACGCCAGGAAGTAGAAAATGTTCAATCATCGGGATAAAATTCGAATAGAATTCGTTTTCGATAGAATCCGTTTCTTCCATTCGCCTAACTTCTCCTCCTATGAAACGTGTCGCAGATATCAGATGATTTACGATGCGATAGAATAGATTGTATTTTCTAATGCAAAATTTTGTGCCCTAGATTTAGTGCGTACAGAATGGTTCACATATCATCACCGTGTAAAATAATATCATGCAAAATTCTTGCTTCGAAACAAGGCATAATATCATCATAGAGATAAATAATTTTGAAGCATAATAATTTAACAAGATTTTCATCATTTATTGAAATACTCAAGCTTCTAATAATGCGAGACATATAATGGACCATTTTGTACGTTACACAAAGGTCGAAGGTGATAAATACCTTTGTCAAGTAATACAGACATCTTAAATAATTGAAATTCATTCATTGAAAAATTCAAGGCGATGAACTATGAAATCGAAACAATGTCCATGAATGGAACGTTTAAATGTTCGTAAAACTACCGACGCTAGGCCATAATTTTTTTCGACTTCTAACGCTTTTTAATATCGACACTTATCCTAGAATCTGCATTTGCACACACACACACACACACACACACACACACACACACACACATGCGCGCGTAACGTATAATGATCAACGCATATGTCAAGCTATCGAAGAAACATAGCGTCGCGAAAAGAGAATATTCAAGAAAGTACCGTTTCGTGCGTACCACAAATGCAACTCAATTATCTACGTTGGAATTGTCACTTTGAAATTGGCACGCGAAAATTAGATTCCGTCAAATATCACTCGAACGATCCGCTAAAATCATCGAATCCATTTCCGTGAAATTTTTACCCATTTTCCTGCGGTTAATTTGAATATTTGCGGATAGATTCTTCTCTTTCCTTTCCTCGATAATTCATTTGTTGTTGTCCTCTGTCTCGTTATGCTCGCGCGTAGAACGTTTCGGTTTAGTCGCATGAGAAATATACATACAATGCATCTATTCTATGTATACATGTTTGTTAATAATATTTTTTTTTTGTTTTTGTACAGAGCTTTCATTGGTTTTCGAAAAGAAGAAATTAGTCTTTCAATAGTGATAACGAACTGTTATTTTTTTTTTCTTTTTTTTTCTTTTTTTTTTCTTTTTTTTGATCGAATGCAGGGTGTTCGACTTTGCGATTTTTTTTCTCCGTTCATTGTGTATGTATCACTTTCATTCTTTCATCAGTGGAAGTGCTGTAATTACATTGCAATTACTTCTCAGAAGCCTGAGAAATGTTTCAAATCCACTTACGTTCGCGAGAGCCAGTGCTGAAAAATTTCAGAGGAACATCTCGACAGAGATCTAATTCCACTGTGATTTATATATCTCAACCTTGTTTCAATATAATGACAAAGACGAGATAAAACTGAGACAAGAAGCAATATATTAATTATTTATACGATTCTCTTAATTATTTTGTAAAGAGATTTAAGTATAAATAAATTGAAATATAATTTTGACAAATACAATTGAGTAAAAAATATAACAACACGAAACATTCTCGTCTCGAGATATCTTACAATTCAGTATTCGCAATTCCGTCCTTTTTTAATTCCGAAACGACGAAACAAGATAAGAAAGTAAAATTATAGCACTCTACTATCAATACACATAAGAAGAAGGAAAAGAAGGAGACCTGTTTGCAATATCTCGAGGATCCACGTCGATCGACTTTGTCCCCAGCGCGATAACAAGATTACCCTCGCCATACTCCTTTTTCTTTGCGCTGGAATTGTTCAAGCTTTCGCAATTTGCATCCGCAAGTAACCGAAAGAATCGTTTACCACAGAGACCACGATCGCAGTAATATTCCAAACAGCTCGTATTTCGTTCACGTAAGGGCAAAAAAGATCAATAAAGTGATATCGTCAGCGTGTCAGATAAAGCTCGAACATCCAGCATACAAGATAGAAAAGTGCACTTTCCTCAGCGGCGATTCTCAAGCTGAGTACACGTTACGCATTATACATGTCGATAATATATGTCTATATACATATACATTTACATACATATACATAAACATATATGTATATACATATAGCACGTATTGTATATGTATATATATTTTTATATATATATAGAAAGTTACAAAAGATAAAAGAATCGAGTATAATGTACACGTACAGACTGTCTCCAACGGGGGGAGGGGGGAGGGGGGGTTGTTCCCCCCGTTTTACTTTCCTCTCAAAACCTTCAATCTACGCTTTTCTTCATTCCTTTTTTTCTCCGTTCTCTCTGTCTCTCCTCTCTATTTTCTCTTTCTTTCTTTTTTTTTTCCCCTCCACTACTTCCTGCTCTTCCTAATTTGGTCTGGAACGTCTCTCCCTGGAGTTTCTCTCTGTCAGCGGATGTACTTTCATCACCGACTTAACAGGATCCATTTAATTAGCCGGTTTCTCTGACGTCGATCATTAGGCTTCGTCGGAGTGAGAGCCTTGAGAGCTACGCTTCTTCTTATGGTTGCCGTGATGATGGTGATGGTGATGATGATGGTGTTGATGGTGGTGCTCGGTGTGCATCAGCGCGTCGGTTTCCGGTTGATTTTGATGGCCGACCAGAAGGTCGAGCGTGCCTCGCGGAAGTCCGGCCTGGTCGTTAGCCGGCGGCGGAAGCGGCGTTGCCACGGGCGACTCGCTTGGTAATGGCACGCAGTGCAACACGTAGCATCTGACACCGGCTAGGATGATGCCTAAAATTTATTAAGCTTCCGTTAGAATGATAACTTTCATTAAAATGATATTTTACAAAGTTGTAATGTCGATGTACTGTTGAACTATTTAACGCTAGAATTACCAATGATTAAATGAATTAAATGATACAAGAGAATGATACCGGCGAATCATTTTACACTGTGGATTATTATTCTTTTTATTTTTTTCACATTTCGTTGACTGTTTAACAACTATTACAACTATCGATGATTAAATAGATTGAATGATACTGGAGTATCATTTTATACAATAAATTTTTATTTTTTTATTTATTTCATATTTTGTGTTGTTAAGTTGATATTAAGCTGCCGTTAGAATGATATTTTACAAAGTTGTAATATTGAATTATTTAACATTAGAATTAACGATGACTAAATAAATCAATGATACTGGAGAATCATTTTACACAGTGGATTATTATACTTTTATTTATTTCATATTTTGTATTGTTGGTTAATACTAAATAAATAATAAGTAACTGTTTAAGAATAAATAGTATTAAATTGATTTCATGTTATGCAATGAATTCATAGCATATCTTTTATAATGACAAAGGTTGATTACAATTTCTTATAATTGGAGGTAAAATTTGGTTCACCTGAAGATTGGAAAATTAGAATATGACATGCTTGTCACTTGATAGCGATAAAAAATCAATTTGATTGTGTGTTATGACATTTACATAATTCCACAAATAGGTTTCATTAAATATTTAATTAAACACTGAATTATCAATTTCTCGAATTATATTCGCTAACTTTATAGAGATTACACAATCATGTTGTTTGTTAGTTATGTTCATTTGGTTAGTTATGAAAGAGTCAAGTCATTGTATGTACAGAACGTTTGACTAATGCCAGGACTATCTACTGTGAAGCGTTGCACGCATGATACAAATAGAAACTCTTCTAATATAAAGTAATTTATATTATTGTAACTAATACTTGAGCAAAAATCACACAATTTAAAGTTAAATCACACATGTTAACAACAAGTGATACAATGATTTAAATTATAAATTAAGATACACTGTTATACTTCTCTTTTATATTTTTACATATTTACATTCTACACATATCTATAAACTATACCAATCTATAAATTTCCCCATTGAAACTTGCAATAACAATTCATTTCATTTTTCAATTATTCGATCACATGCTAATCTATTACAATTCACATTTACAACACAAAATTTAGGTTTATCAATTTAAAGCAAACTTGGTAATGAAAAGCTGATTTACACTGCCGATTTATACTGCGGTAGTTTTATATATATATATATATATATATATACACATACGTATTTCATATTTTACACTTAGGCCAAATTTACAAATCTTGCATTTTTAAAATAATTGACATGTTAGTTGTATTACATTCGAAATACAACGCAGAATCCGGGTTGTTATTAATTTAAAACAAACTTAGCGACGAAAACGAGCTTTGCCTTTGGTTTATACAGCGATATGATTTCCGTACACAGGCGTGTAACCGGTTTAGCGTAACGAAAATTCGATCAAAATTTGTGTGATAAATTTCATGCGGTGCATCAATATGTTTCGCATTAATTAATACCCTTTGCAATGCACTTGGCGAATTTAATTTCAAATCGGCCGCTTTATCCGTAAGTTTACGTGTATGACCGCGTGTTGATGATATCGACGCGCATGAATTTCATCGAGCAACTTTAATGAACATGCAAATGCATTACATAGCTTCTTGCCATTGTATTCGAGTCGAGTCTACGTTCAAACGACCTCACTAAGAAACAACATGCGATAATGTCCCATTATCAAACTGTGTAATGGCATACTTTTTTCCTTGTAATACGTGACATTTTGTTTTAAATTCGAAACTGAATTACCGAATTCAATTTTGCGATGAAAGAAAAACAAAGGGAAGAGAACAGAGAAGCTCAATTGTAAAAATTTACATTAACTCCACTTCAATATAAGAATTTGTTTAACTGTCGAAAACCGCTGGCGAATTAATTTTAATGGGATTTTTGGGGCGAATAAACATGTGCGCCAGAACATTTGGAATTTTATTTCAGCGGAGGAAGTTCAATTAATTTCAACCTCTCTCCTACTTTGGGAACGAGATTATCCCTTTTTTATTTTTGTAAAACTCGAGTATTTCTACATATGGTTGTTTTTACGACTGTATTTTTTACTATCCTTGCGATAGAAACAATCAGATATTTAGAATTCAATAAATTGATATTCATGATAAAATTCAAAGGTGCAAAATGCATAGAATAAATTAGTTCGAGTGTTAAATTATTATATTCAGTACACGATAGTTGAAATTCTATTTCTTTAGATAGATGTAAGTATTATCGACATCATAATTTCCTCGAAAAGTCTCATTAAATATCTTCATTGGAAAATTACACGAATTCGTAATAGTAAATATATTCAACATCTTTTTTGGACGAAAATTCGCATCCTCGAGGATTTTTCTTTCGAGCAAATCAGAAAAATAGAATATCACTTTTATTGCGATCACCATGTTAACTGACAGTAACTTGATTACTGTCCGGAATGGATAGGTCACAGCAATACGATTAGGTCATAAAAGCTCCGAAGACGAACGAGTTCTTTTCAAACTGTTTCTTATTGCCTCGGCACGGTTTTATATAATATATCCGATTGCCGACTACGGAATAAATAAAACGAGTTTTACACGGATTATTTCATTACTTTCAGCGTATAAAAATGGCTCATTAAAGATTTTAACAACAGATAAAACTCGAAAATGGAACGCGAACATTTCAATGACAGTGTTTCGTCTTCCTTCTCGTTTTTATGTAAAATATTTCGTGATTTAGTTGGGAAAACTTTTTCTTTTTGAAAGCAAAATATTTTAACAGCGGTAGTTTTCGAAATGTTGGAAAGTTGAACTCTGTTTCCAGAGAACAGATCGTTAGAACAGAAAAACCGAGCTTTCATGCGGGGAATCACGCGTCCATTTCTATATTAACCAGCGTGATATAATTGAAATTGGTGAAATCAGTTGAACAAAATTGAAACTGATGGAAACGAAAAGGAGATAAATTGAATGATAGTGGAAATTATCGCGACATAATTAATTAATTTCATTGCCTTTCCACGTGACATTCGAGAATAGTATTCATGCTCGATAAGCTCTAGTCATTGTTTAAGCAATATACAACGAACATAAACGCTGGTTAACAAACCAGCTGGTTGGGAATTTTGCAGAGTACGATTCAGTTTATTCAATTCGTAATTTGCCAAAGCATAAACCTCGCGATTCTAAAGTTCAAAAGTTATAGAAATCAGCGAACAGTAATAGAACGAGCTGCACAATGAGACACGGGATGGAAATTTGCAGAATTCGAAAGGAAAAGGGAAAATTCTTTTCCTTTATATCGAGATTCCTATATATACTTATTTTATTATATATCTTTTATTATACGTAATATTATATTTTATAATACTTTTACTCCGAAATAAGTAAAATAAATAAAATAAAATAAATTATGTAATTGGAAAAAAATCAAAATTAATTTCACTGATTTTTTTTTTTTTCATGTTCCTTCGTATTATTTATGAATATTCACTCTAAAAGAGATTCAAATAAAAGAACAATAACAACTCTCGAAAACAATACTTCTTTAATTTAACTATCGCGCGAATGTTCGTTAACTTTTTTAATTATAAATTGTGTTAATAAACGAAATGTGACCTCTTCCCGCCGATATCACATTTCTGTCAAAAAATATTGCGTATTTCAATTAACCAACGAAATGATATTAAACGGTGCGTCTCGTTTGAAAATATCACATTTTGGTCGTAATTGTAATCCAATTAATCAATAAAATTAAATTACATATACGTAATTAAATGTATAGGTAAATCACACATCCTGTTGAAAATATTAAACGTTACAAATGGATGAAACTGGCATAGTTATGCATGAGCATCGAATTGAAAGTTCACGCGTTGAAAATGCCATCATTCTAATCAGTGATATGAAACTTAATTACCGAAACTAGATCTCATGGTAAATATTGGGTGTATCACTGCGAAAAATATGATCTAAGTGTTCAATGGAATTATGTTACATGATTTTTTTTTTTGAAAATACTTCACTTCTGCCAGAAATGTAGTGTCAATTAGGCGATAAAATTAAATAATATCTAATTGATTCATCATATTATGTACTTCGTTTGCTTTCTATCAATATTATTATACAAACATATCAAACGTAATATATTTCGGAATCGTTCTACAAATCCTTTTGTCAAAGAATTTACATTTATATCGAATTTACTTTGTGACATTTAAACACTTTGGCAAGTCGTTGATCAATGTAATATAATATTTAATATCGTTAAAATTTACCTTGATATCAGGGAACACGTGTCTTTACAGACAAACGAAACAAATGAAACAAAATCTTCTCCACGATTCAAAAACAGATTAAAAAGAAAAAAAAAAAACAAATAACAAACACGATTGACAGATATGATTGAACTTCACGAAAGGACTAAGGCCTAAAGTCGCAAATTCTATTATGAGTATATCTCGAGAGACACAGCGAGCGAGAAGATTCTCTCGAGTATTTCTTCGGCTGAAGAACTGAAGTTGCAATTCGTCGTTGATGAATTTATCCCATCCCGCCGATGCGTTTCAGCTTAGAAATCAAGCGCGGAAACCTATTTCCTTGACCTATTATTCTCTGATGAACGCCTGCCGGGTTCGTTCTGGCAGAAGTTCAGGATTTCCTTGGTACAAGTTTCGCTCGGACTTGGAGGAGAAAAAAAAAAAAAAGTGGCTCACCTAGGAGAAGCAGAATAGTTCCCGCTACGAGTAAAGCGAGTCGATGGTCGGTGGTCGTCGCACCCGGGGCAAGTTGAACTAGACCAACTACCAGCACCACTGCGCCCAACAATAGGCACACAACCACCGCGTGCAGCCCTGATATCTGTGAACGACAACGTGCCCTGTTAAATCATTTCCCCCAGCGAATCATCTTGCGGTCATTCCACGTCCGTGGCTGGTAAATTATTCACCGTTCCTGGGTGAACCGATTCTACCGAACGATTCTTTGCGAAAGGAGTCGTTCAATGATCTGTGTGTCGGTTTTCTTAGCCTTTTTGGTTTTTTTTTTTCTTTTAACTTATGGAAAGTTTCGACGAAGAAGGGAAACTTAAAGAGTAAAATATGGTGTGTTTTTGAAACAGTTTGTAACTCAATTTCAAATAGTATCACTGACTGTAAGTTATAGGTAAGTGAGTGTAAGTAATCCTTTATAACCAGAATTTCGATTAATCAAACTGTTGGTGAATTCTATCCATCCACTCCAATCAAAGATCTAAGAATGAATAATTGTCGCGCATTTGTCATTTGTTGTTAATAATCCGTTTGGCATTTTTACAACGTAACAACAACTTGAGCGAAAAAACGTGGACACGTAACTTTCAAACTGCACTACAGAAGGTTAAATTATTCAAATTGTATTTAATTAATCGAATACGATGCAATTAAGTACAACGTGAAATGAAATCCAACCTGTTAAACAATTCTCATGTTACGCACGTTCTAGTCGATATAATTTTCAGAAAATAGAGCCGAGAGTTTCATTTCTCGCTCTGTGTGTTTTCGATGTGATTCTGACGATGCCACATCACGTTAAAGCTTCTGAACTTTTAACAGGAGGA